GGCGGGCGGGTCGGTAACCCGAGGACACCGATTTATAATAGTCGTTAAAAGAAATAGAGGGGAGGTGAGGTGAAAGCCTTAACAGGTCTTATTTAAATCCATCTTTAAAAATCATAAGAATTTGGACGCTCGATCCACGACTGATGGTAGGATATTTGCTGTGCGCAATTGGCTGCCAAGGTTCGCCCACAAAATACACAGTCAATTCGCTTTACAATATATTCTGTGAAGAGCTTTGAGATGTTCCAACGATGTGATAAGACACTCCAGAAAATGCAAGAATTATGATTATCTTTATTATCTTCATTTCTCCTCCCCGCGACAATCTATTTCCCTTTCATTGCCCCTCCTCCACCCACCATCCTCCCCCACCCCCAAACACTCATACAAATCTGGTAAACAATGTCTTTAACACATAACAATGAAGTGAGTAATGAGAGACTGAGCGGTGTATCTCCCACGAATTAACTCTCAGCCACAACCCTGGGGTTTGACCGATTCCTGTCAATTCACTTTACCGTATATCCTGTGAAGCGCTTTGCGGTGTCTCAAATATGTGATTAGGTGCTATATCAAATGCAAGGATTATTCTTCTTATTCTTATTATTTTATTTTAATGCAAACAAACACCCATTTTGGTTCTTAATTTTTGCTTTCCAATGGATCGCAAACTTTCTTCCTCAAACTTTTTTTTTGCTTTTATCGTGCACCAGTAGCGACATCTACCAACAGAAACAGAATAAGAGTGAAAGTGAGGGAGGGAGAGAGAAAGAAGCGTTCAAAAAAAGCAGATCGGTGAGGAATTTAATGTCATTTAAAAAAATTAAATTAAACCACAAAAAAAATCTTGTTTGATAATTATTCCCTTGGTTTAAGATATCTTACCCCTTATCTTTCAAAGACAGAGAGAGAGAAAACACCCAGAAAGCAAGCCAATAATTAATATTATTTGTTTAAAGAAAATTAAACAAAAACATTTAATCTTGTTTGATAATCGATCTCATGGTTTAAGCGATGTTTTTTCTGTCTTTCAAAGAGAGAGAGAAAGCCCAGAAAGCAGAACAATGAGGAATTTTATTTATTTAAAAAAATGAAATTAAACAACAACATTATTTAATCTCGTTTGATAATCAATTTCATGCTTTAGAGCGATTTTTTGCTCCCCTGTCTTTCAGAGAGAACATCCAAAAAAGCAGAACAATGAGGAATTTTATTTCAAGTTAAAAATTGGATTAAATGAACCAACAAAAAAATAAAATCCAGGTAATCTTGTTTGGTAATCGATTGCTTGGTTTTTTTGTTCTTCCAGATCCCAATATCTGCTCCATTGCATTACGGCTGTAATCCAATTTCCCTTTCCCCACTCTCTCCGGCACTCTTCCCAAGAGAATCACAGATGTGGAAAGTTGTTTGAAAGACATTGGTTGCAGTATGTATCTCTGTGCCTCCTCACACCGGTCTTCAAATTCCTTCATGCCCCGGCACCTCCTTACCTCTCCGACCTGCTTACTCCCCAACCCACTATCCGCTGCCTCCGCTCGACTGGCTCCGGCCTCCTGATTGTCCCTCGTGCCCTCCGCACCACCATCAGTAGATCATGCATCAGTCATTATGCCCCCAATCTCTAGAACACTCACTCTCTAAACCTGCGCCTTGCCCCCTCCTTGGAGCCTGAAGACCTTCCCCTTTGACCATGCCTACAATCACCTCCCCCTCCTCCCGGCTTAGCGTCATGCTCTGCCACTGTCAAGCGCTCTGAGAGGCTACCCTGCATTGGGGGGGGTGCTATATACATCCAAGTTGTTGTTGTTTGTAGGTTCAATCCATATGTCAGGACTTTCAACTCACAGTCCAGCCTCAATGTACCCTTTCCCACACCAGGCTCCATGACCCAATCATCCCCATGCAACCCTATCATCCCCATCCTTGCCTGGCTCCACTGGCTTCCCATCACTCAGAGGATACAGTTTAAGATCCTCACCTTCAAAATCCTCCACGGCCTTGCTCCTCCCAACCTCTGTGACCTCCTAACCCCCTACCAACCTATCCGCTCCCTCCGCTCAGCTGGTTCCAGCCTGCTTTACGTCCCCCACCAGCTTGCCACACTATTGGTGAGCGGGCCTTCAGCCTCTCTGCCCCCACCCTCTGGAACTCCATCCCACAGTCCCTCCGTCTCACCCCCACCCTTGCCTCCTTCAAGATCCATCTCAAGACCCTCTCCTACCATGCCTTCGGTCACCCTCCTAACCTTACACTCCCCGCCCTCCACCCCTCCTGATCCCAAACACCAGCTTGGGTGTGAATCCTTGACGGCACAGCACCTTGGGACAGCCTCCTGACATGAAAGACGCTATACAAATGTAATTTGTTGTTGTTGTTGATGCTCAGTGCGGTGTTAGCGGTGCTAACCCGAGGGCACTGATTTAAAATAGTTGTTAAAGTGGGATTGATAGCTCTTTTCAAAGAGCCGGCACAGACATGATGGGCCGAATGGCCTCTTTCTGTGCTGTATAATTCTATAATTCTATAATCCCGCCTTGCCCCTCCCTCAAATTCCTGGGCAGGGCAAAACCTTAGGCAAGTATCCTTACTTCACCTGGTAGTAAGTAAGACCCTGGTTGTAGTTGATTGTCGGATTGCTTTTCCGGGAGTAATAATCCCTTAAAAAACATTGTCACTCAGTTCGTGACTGTTAGTGGGACTATTAGCTGCCGCATTTGACCCACAAAATACGCAGTCAGTTCATTTCACAGTATCTTCTGAAACTTCTGAGCTTTGAAACGTCTCGAAGACGTGATATGGCGCTATGTCAAATGCAAGGATGATTGTAAATGCAAGGATTAAATCAGAGGTCTTTTTCTTCTTTTCCGCTCCTTCCTCGAGAATGAACCATAGAATTATTGCCCGTCTCCCAGCTTTATTCTTAATACAATAACTGCTGTCTGTTTGTCACAGACCTACATTGTATTTACAGTGACGCATTGAGGCCACTTTTATACATAAGGTCAATAAGCTTCGCAGCAATGCAATCATCTTTTTTTCTGTTTTTCTCTGTTTTGTAAAGTTATCACAATAATAACGGGACATCAGTTAAAATATCAATCCCAATAATAAAAAAAATTCTCTCCCAAGGTAAGGATTGTGAGAAAGCTGGGACAGGAAATGTCCATTAGAACTGTGTCGTGAAAGCCTTCCACGTTCCGTCTTGTGAAGGGTTTCATATCCACACCCTAATTGGTGTGAAGAATGCTCTCTCCCACTATTCCTGATCCCTCAAAAGCAATGAAGCAAATACTTTATACAATATCCTTACAAAAACAATGTGCATCCCTGTAGAGTTCCAGGAGCGTAGTAGTTAGCGTGCTCGCCTCGCAAGCGAGAGGACCCGGGTTCGATTCCTGGGCAGGGGAAAATCTTAGGAAGATTTTCTTACTCCACACACATCTGTTTAGCTCTCAGTAACTAGGAATTCAGTTGTTAGTTGATTAGCAGATCGTTTTATGGAGGAAATAGTCCCTTAAAAAAATACAAAAATTTGGTCATTCATTCCACGACTGTTTGTGGGACACTGCTGTCTGCAATTGGGCTGCCGCGTTTCAACCACAACATGCAGTCAATTCCTTTTACAGTACATTCTGCAAAGCTCTTTGAGACATCTCAACGACATGATAAGGCGCTAAATCAAATGAAAGGATTATTGTTATCCCGGTTCGGTTGGCTCTGAGTCAGAAGGTTTGTGACTTCAAGTCCAATGTTGAGGCTTTGAGCTTAGGATCTCGGCTGTGGCTCCAATGCAGTACCAGGTGATAGGAACTCTCATTGTCAGCGATGTAATCCTTTGGATGAGACGTTCTTGTCTGTATCTGTTCAGGTGGTTGTTAGATGATCTTGTAGCACTATTTGATACGAGAATGGAGTTTCTCCCATTCCTCTGATCTTTCCCCTATTGTGTCCGTGCTGATGATAGTTCCCAGTGACACTACATTATTGGAGGAGATGTAAAGCAGAAGTCCCATTAGCCTGTTTGTGTGGACATTAAATATCCCCTGTGCTCTGTTTGGAAAGAGGAGGGAGTTTCTTCCGGTGTCCGGGCAAACAATCCTCCAGATAAATTGTGCGTTCACATCATGGCTGTTTATGGGATCTTACGGAGCATATAATAGTTGCCTCAGCTGTTCACCTATTTTGACTGGTAATAATCTACAACGTGTTTTTTTGACATGAAAAAAATGATAAGAATCCAAGTTTTCGGGAGTGGAAGCAAAAAGGAGGGGAAATGGGATTGAAGCACTAGAGGTATAGATCTGCCACTAATAATAATCCTTACATTTGATATAGTGCCTTATCACGTCTTCGAGATGTCTCAAAGTGCTTCACAGAATATACTGTAATGTGAATTGACTGTATATTTTGTGGGCAAAATGCGGCAGCCAATTGCTCACAGCAGTGTTCCACAAACAGTCGTGGATTGAGTGACCAAATTATTAGCTGTCAGAGTGAGCTTGATGAAGGGCCCTCTCTCCTCTCTCATGATGTCAATGAGTGTTTCTTCTCAATGCAAACATTGTGGGGGGTGGCGCGAGTGTTGTGGGGCAGTGAATGTCCAGTGAGCAGGAACGATATATTGGCTCTGGAGGGAGTACAGCACAGATTCACCAGAATGATACCAGGGCTTAAAGGGTCAAATTATGAGGACAGGTTGCATAAACTTGGTCTGTGAGGAGTGACCTGATTGAGGTGTTTAAAATAATGTAGAGATTCAATAAGGTAGATACAGAGAAACTATTTCCTCTGGTGGAGGAATCCAGAACAAGGGGGCATCCTCTTAAAATTAGAGCCAGGGCATTCAGGAGTCAAATTAGGAGGCAATCTGGAACTCTCTCCCTCAAAAGGCTGTGGATGCTGGATCCATTCACCTTTTCAGTGGATAGATATTTGTTAGGTCGGGGTAACAAGGGATAGGGGCAAGGGTGGGTATTTGGAGTTGAGGTGGAACAGGCTCGAGAGGCTGAAAGGCCTCCTCCTGTTCCTATGTTCCTAAGCAGGAGGTAAGGATGAGCTGAGCAGAGGATCACGTCAGCTGGTTCTTGGCCGGTTCTATCACAGCCTCATAGGCGGGAGGTGGCGTCTGGGATGACAGACAGGTGAGTTGGTGACCCTCAGACCATTGCTGCTCCTGGTGGCCCAGGCTGCAGTTGAGGGTCGAGCAGGTGTCCGTGCGGAGGAGGGAGGTTGGTTGGTCTCCAGCGAGGTCCTCGGGCAAGGGATCAGCCAGGAAGGGGTGGAAGGTAGACGCCCGGAAGGTGGACTTCCTGTTGTAGTAGTCTGACTGGTCCTGGGAGCCTTGGCACTGGAGAGAGAGGGTCCGAGACAGAGGGAGAGCATCACAGTCTCTGTCATTGCTGTTGCTCCTGTAACACTCTGTGCGGCTCAGCATCAGACTGCGGGAGGAAGGTCTGGCTCGACGGGGCACGACCTGGGTGATGGAAATGGAGGCACTGGCTTTCTTTCTGCGTGACACCACCATCAGCAGTGTCAGGACAAAGCCCCCGAGGGCTAAACCGATCACCACCGACACAAAGAAGGATGTCACTACTCCAGCTGTGAGAGAAACAAACATACAACAAAATGTGAGATAATAATAATAATCATAATAATAGTAAACCTTGTATTTGATATAACCCCTTATCACGTCTTTGAGACATCTCAAAGCGCCTCACAGAATACACTCTAAAGTGAGTTGGGTATATATTTTGTGGATGAACGCAACAGCTAATTACGCACAACAGTTTCCCACAAACTGTCGTGGATTGAGTGATAAAATAATACCAGGAGAAACTCCCTTCTCTTAGTACCATCTTTATTGTCCACCTGAATAGGCAGACAGTTCAACATCACAAATCCGTCAATGCAACACACCTTCAGCACTGCACTGGATTATCTCCTTAGACGATGTGATGCCAGGGATTTGAACCCACAACCTTCTGACTCAGAGATGAGAGTGCTACCACTGCACTAGGCTGACACACGGCTTCTCCCGGTGTCCTGGCCAAAAGTCCCCCCAAATATAATTGGTCACTTGCTTCATAGCTGTTTATGGGTTATTGCTGTGCACAGAATGGCTGCCCATAAAATACACAGTCAATCCACTTTACAGTAAATCCTGTGAAGCAGTTTGAGATGTCCCATTGACGTGATAAAGCTCTATATCAAATGCAATGATTATTAAGATTAGACAAACAGTAGGGAAATGGGATTAGAGTAGAAAGCTCCAGTACGGGAGCAAGCACCAGCACGGTCATCACAAGAACACAAGATGTGCCTGGATGAAGAAGGCCCTTCAGCCCATCTGATCTCATCCCTCTAGAACACCCACCCTACTGTACCCCCACCACAGCATCAAACTGCTTTTTTAATGAGGTCCAGGGTCCTAGTCTCAACAACCCTTCCAGGTAACCCTGTTCCAGTCATTAATTATCCTCTCAGTGAAGAAAACATTTCCTGGTGTCTGTCCTGAATGATGAGGGATAGAACAAGGGAATGGGATGAGAGTAGAGAGCTCCAGTAGGGGTGTGAGCCTCAGCACAAACACGATGTAAAGCAAGGCCTCCCTCTTTGCTGTAAATATGCCATGATTCCGTGATAGTCTTGTGAGTGACATAGGCTGAGTATTAGATAGTGTCAACCCAAGGTTTCTCTTTTTGCAGTAACACTGGTGCAAATTCCGCAAAGAGAGAGGGGGATGGTAGCAGGAAACTGGACAGAAACCTTTCCCTCTTCCTGTGCACACAGATGTGCGGAAATTCCAGAGCTTGTCAGGAATCTGTGATTGATCCATTGTCAATGCGGAGGCGACAGACTGACTGTCCATGTGAATGTGAATTCCTATTGACCAGCGGGGAAGTGACCCGAAATAGAGCAGTGGGGAGGGAGTATTTCTACCCCACATCTGTGCCATGACAACAAAAGCAACAACAACTTGGATTTATATAGCACCCTCCACGCTGGATGGCATCTCAGAGCGCTTTACAGTAACGGATCCCGGGACCGAGCCGGGTGAGGGGTGGGGGGGAAAGGTGACCAAAGGCGCGGTCGAAAAGAAAGGTCTTCAGCAGAGACCTGAAAATGGGAAGGGAGGAAACGAGACGAAGGGAGTGAGGAAGGGAGTTCCAGAGACTTGGGGCGTAGTGGCTGAAGGCACGGCCGCCGAGGGTGGAGCGGAGGACTCGGGGAACGAGGAGGAGGCCAGACCCGGAAGAACGAAGGCAACGGGTACTGTTTTGAGGAGAGAGGTGTATTTTGTAGGCAAATGCGGCAGACACTTTGCTCACAGCAATGTCCCACAAAGAGCCGTGAAGTGAATGATTGATTTTATTTGGGGGGGGGTTGTTGACCAGGAAACCGGGAGAGAAAAATTCCCTTCAGTGCCATGTGAACCTGAACAGGCAAAGACGGGATCTCAGTTTAGCTACAGCCTCAACTTGTGATTTTCTGTTGGGTCATTCCATGTCCTAATAACGCCTGTTTTTCTAGTCAGCCGTGTGTCTGGCACATGTGAAAACCCATTTCCAGGCATATGAGTATCCAAATCAAACTGAGAATTCCATACAAACCACCCAAACACGTGGAAATCCCAGAGAGAGATTGTTGGAATGGAACGCGCTCCCTCTCCCTGGAGGGACACATCCTGTTTACCTAATTCCAGAGAGTATTGTGGAGTCCTGTAGCTCAGTGGTTAGGGCTCTCGCCTCGCAAGCGAAATATCTGGGTTCGATTCCCGGCAGGGTGAAACCTTGGGTAAGTTTCCTTACTCCACACGCCTGATAATAATCCCTCAAGAAAAAAACCAATAATAATTTGGTCACTTCAATCCACGACTGTTTGCGGGGACGCTTCTGTGCGCAATTGGCTGCCGCGTTTCGCACACAAATATACAGACAATTCACTTTACAGTATATTCTGTGAAGCGCTTTGAGACGTTTCAACGATGTGATAAGGCGTTATATCAAATGCAAGGATTATTATTATTAGGCGCAGGTTGGCAAGAGCCAAGGCTTGAGGACTCCAGAGTGTGTGTTGGGGTAAATGCTGGAGTCTAACCAGCTAAAACCACATAACTTGCCATTGAGAGCACTGTGTGACAAGCTTTCCTGCTACTTGTCCAGCTAGGACCACCCTACCCATTAGGTCTTTGGCTTACAGGGTTAACAGGAGCTGAGTGGGAGGATTTTCTGCCCCCAGTGACTGGTCTGCCCTTCCAGGTCCTGCCGATGGACCAAGCTGGACTGTGCTGTCATCAGCAGCGCTCTGGAATACTGCGGACTCGCTTGGCTCAGGAACCGAACTAGAGAACGTCAGAGGGTGGGCTCAATTATGACATTCCGTTGCAAAATGTGTCACCTTGGAGCCAGTTCAGCTCAAAGGAGACCCTGCTTACTGCCCCCCTCCCACCCCCCCACCACCGCAGGAGGATAGTCAATAAATCTTTGTGTGTGTCGTGTGCGCGCGGCGTGTGCTAGTGTCTGTGTGTATCCATGGATATGTGCGTGTTAGTGAGTGTTTGTGGGTGTGTGTGTTAGTGAGACGTCTCAAAGCGCTTTGCAGAATATACTGTAAAGTGTAGTGACTTTGGAATTTTGTGTAATTTATTTAGATGTAAGATAAACCTCTCCCTATTTTATCGATGGTCCTAAATCAATGGCCTCTGAGTTCCAAATCACCAACCGGCAGAAACCACTGCTCTCTGTTTGCCTTCTCAAAAGCCCTTCAAATGACAAGGACATTTATTATCACAAAAGCACAAGACGGTACCCTTGAGCTGAGTACAAGGCAAGATTGCTTGAGACACATCGTGAATTGGTTAACCTTGCTTTGACAAACTGCTCTTTCAAGTGAGTGCGGTCACAAGGTATCGTTTTGTTGTTGGTTCCATTGAGGACTCTTTCCTATCGTATAAATCAAAGGCACGTTTACTCTTGCACCCTTTGCGTCTTTCCTCCTACATTACAATAACGCACGGTGTTGGCCTTCAACTCAAGCTCTCTGCATTGTTCACAGTGAATGGTGCCACAAACAGTAAGACAACTACTATGCTCCGACCATCCCCATCCTCCTTTCCAAAGCCGGGGAGACGTGAATGCTTGTGTTAAGCTCAACATTATGACTTGGGCCAAGTTCTTAGCTAATCATAGACGTATGCTGAAACATATAGACGCAGTTTATAACAATACTAATCCTTGAGTGTGTCGAAATGTCTCAAAGCGCTTCAAGGGATTTTACAGTGCATTTTGTTGGTGAACGTGGCAGCCTATTTGTGCATAGTAATGAAACGCAAATGGTCGTTAGTGACTGGTTTTAGCTGGGGGATTGTTAGCCTCACTCTTTAGAGAAGACTCATCATCATACTACTAATAAACATAATCCTTGCATTTGATGTAGCGCTTTATCATTTCATTGAGACGTCTCAAGGCACTTCTCAGAATATATTGTAAAGTGGATTGACTGTATTTTGTGAGAGAAACACGGCAGCCAATTGTGCACAGCAGTGTTCCACAAACAGTCGTGGATTTATTGACCAAATTTGTTTTGAGGGATTATTACCCCTGGAAGGATCCGCCAATTGACTAACAACCGGGTTCCTACTTACTGCTGGGTAAACCGAGGGGAGTAAGGAAACTTGCCTAAGGTTTCGCCCCATCCAGGAATCAAACCTGGATCCTCTGTTTGTGAATTGAGAGCACTAACCACTCCACGGAGCTCAGCCTTGAGAGAAGACGACTCTGCGGGGACCTCATTGAGTTGTGTAACATTTCAAATGGGATGAAAAAGTAGGACAGATGTTTAGAGTTGTAAATGGCAATTTCATGACAGAAACCAGGATAGTGTGATGAGGGGACAGTAGGGTGGGTGTTCTGGAGGGAGGAGATCAGAAGGGCCTTCTTCATCCAGACCGATCTTATGATCTTGTGATGAGATCGGGAGGAAACTTTCTTCTCTTTTTAATTAATTCATTGGGGATCATTAAGGTTATTTCTTCACTTATGCATTCAAGAGGAACCTAGATATAGACGAAGGGAGAAGGGAATAGAAGAGTATGCGAGAGGGCAAGGAGTGGATGGTAGCCTGTGTGAAGTATACACACAGGCACGGACTGGTTGGACTGAATGACCTGCTTCAGTGCTGTACAGTCTATGTAAATCTATATAGGTCCACTTGAACAGTAAGACGGGACCTTGGTTTAATATCTTATCTGAAGAACAGCTTCTCCAACAATGTAGCATTGGAGTGTCAGCCGAGGCAGTGAGCTCAAAGTCCTGATGTTGGGATTTGATCCCATAACCTTCTGACTCAGAGATGAGGGAGCTACCAACTGAGCCAGGCTGACACCTGAGTAGTCTATGGATACTGTGTGTATAGCCCGGTTATACAGTGGTAGCACTCTCGCCTCTGAGTCAGAAGGTTGTGGGTTCAAGTCCCCACGTTGTGATTTGGGATGACATAGTCTAAGCTGGTGGGCGAGTGCTGCATTGTCAGAGATTCTGTCCTTCAGATGAGATGTTAAACTGAGGTCCCGTCTGCCTGTTCAAGTGGACGTTAAAGAT